TTGTGTGACAAGAACCACGTCGCGTCATGCCGCCCGCTGGGAGAAATTTTCCCCCTTGTCAGGTGCGCAACTCTCAAGTGCACTGTTTGCTTCCGTCTCCTGACGAAATCTTCGAAAAGTGGAAGCGAGACTGGCTGACGGCAAACGGTGGCGAGTCACATCCAACGCATCACAAATCAGTGGCTCAAGGTGCCCTTTTTCCGCAGGCCTATCGAGGGCGTGAAGGGCGTGGAGCCTCGTACTTCGTCCATGAAGACTTGTTAATGGATTACCTTAGGAATGGTCTTGCATACCATTTTATGCTTTGCTCTACCAACATACGACTTAAAGAATGGCGTACGGGCGGCGTGAGCTAACAAAAACGTTGGTTGTACGAGATCGTGAACGCATGGCACACCAATTGTGTCATGCTACATCTGCGTAAATATTTAACAGGTACTGATGCATTTTTAAGAAAATTATGGCGACATTCTAACTCATCTTTCAAAGACAACACATAAAGGTCCAGAGGATTGGATGGCCCAAAAACCTGCATGGGCCCGACCTTTCCATGCATCCTTTTTAATGATAATTTGTCATGTCATTGTTAGCATTGGTTTACCATGCTCGTTCTGTGTCCATGTTTTCTGTACATATATTTTCATTTTCTGACTGGCTTAGAACCTGTATGCTTACAAATCTCAAGAATACGCCAAAGTAAAACATGGAGTGATTTATTCATCCTAGAACCTCCTTTGAACAATAAAGAGATGGAGAAGGAAGAGATTACTCGGTGGCGAGACGATTGATAAAAGCGCCCAAGGTATCAATGAGCTCTGTGACGCGTGATGAAAGCTGACAGCGATATGGAAGCCCTGGCTGCGAGGCACATGTACGGTAAAAAAGTTATTGGTAATGGTTTCCAGCCGGCCTCATTTACTACGGCATAGCTGATGCAAACGTCTACCCACGAACGGGCGTAGGTACTTGGAGGGGAGAGGGGGCTGGCCCCTTAACTTTCTCGACCATTAACCCTTGCCTGACGGGGCCATTTTTACACCCTTGGCCGACGAGGTGAAAAGACGGTCTTCCTAACAACTTTTGAACTCGGGCGTAATGCGTGTTGCGCGTGTCTCTCGCGGTCCAACTAAAACAGCGTGTTGCGCGTGGTCTAAGCTATCAAAATATATCCGAAGTTTTGATTCTACAACAGTAGGTGACCTTCCAGGTCACATATTTGCTACCTGTTGAGCACGCCCAGGTCACCTATTGATTAAAATATTGCCTTCATCATGTCATGCCGTAAACCATAAAATTGTATCATTTGATATTATTTCCAGCCGTAACAGTACAAAGTGGTTGTGTAAAAGATGACACGTTTTATGCTGTCTTCCGGTTTTGGAGATGTCCTAATTTGGGGCGCTGGTGAACCACGTGTCTCAGATCGCGGAAACATCATCACAGCCGACATGTGCATTGGAATGCATGGTATACAGTTTTGCTGCCGGTAGCTGTTATACATATACACTGCAATGTATAAATATATACATACTATGCATAACTTTATCCATACTGTGCTTAACTATACACTTAGTATATATACTACGCCTACACGATGCATGCGTTATACAAATACTTCGTGCGTGCATAGTGTACACATGCATATACGCATGCACACCCCATCGACGGTGGGATGATGGAAAAAGACCGATGCAGCGATCATCGCCCAAGCTATCCAACAATGCTCGTTTACTTGTCGAGTCAATTTGTGACATCTGAGACCAAGACAGGGTTTTGAGCCACGCATGCCTTTTATCGCTATACAATGCAGGTCTCTGCGTTACGTAAATGCGATTAAAAGTAATTTGAGAATTTGACATTGGACATGTCAAAGCCAAATTTCGCTATCACGCCAAACGTTTCCTCTATCTGCAGTATGAAAACCACCGACCTTACGTCAAAACGATCAACGATATTCGGCGCAATATGGCGAACTCTTCAGACAAGTTTTGTTTTAAAACAACATAAAAGACGTATACGAGGGCAAATGAGGCTACAGAGCCTGACACTGCGTTGCAATAATTATCATACCGCGGGTGCAGCACCCCTCAAGCTGGACTACACCCGCATCGCAGCAACAATCACAGCCAGAGAAGAGAGGTTCATTAGCTGCATGCAGGCGCTTATATATCAGGGTCGTGACCCTGACCTTTGGAAGATCAGTGCCACCTGCATGTAAGGGTCCATAGGCAAGCAGATTGAACGATAAACTTTCACCAAGTACGGCAAGCTGTTGGAAGTTGGCTGCTCTGTGTGTCTTCGTCAAGATTTCACGTTGTCGATTAACTAGTTTGTTTTTGTACTTCATGCGATCAGAACGCATGTTATATTTGGGTGCATATTTTCAGACCAGTTGAAAGCCATTGTTTATTTCCGAGCGATTGCAACTGAGCATCGTGTATCTGTGAGCAAAGCAATCGAAATGCTTGGCGAGATTTTCCCAGAAAATGCGGATGAGTTAATTTGAGTAAACGTGCCACCGGACCACGATGTCAGTGGTGCGGACAGGCTAGATGACGGCGCAAATGGACCGGCAGAAATGCACGACGTTTCTGTCTCGCTGGAAGTCCAGATGGATCGTGGTCTAGATGAACCAGGCAGGCAAACCCGCCAAGTCATGCAATGGAATCTGAGCGTATTCCATCAAAGAAGCAACGCGAGTAGAAAAGTGTGCCAATGAGGCGCTTTGTTCCACCCAAGACAGCGCTGTTAAACGAAACAATGTTCACTGATCCTTACAGCTGCATTGCTTCCAGCCATTGAAGATTACTTTGCTCCTCCCCATGCGCCAAACGGCGGCCGTCACCTTAGCTCGGCGCGGCGCCCGCGCCGGCCGGGGTACGCAATGCTCAGGGCTAGTGGTAATTTATGGTGTCCACCCACGTCGCGAAAATGGCTGAGAGCATTGCCCAAGGCACTGCCAAAAACAAACACACTCCGGTGACGGTTTTTTTCTCTATTTTTTAAATTTGTGTAGCGCAGTTCATAGCGGCTATAAAGTATTGCGTGGATTTTGTTTCTCCATACTGTAGGAGCTGCACAATGTGGTCCTCACACTGGAGTGTGGAGAACAAAGCACGTGAAATACGAACTTACCAGACATAAATCCAAACGTTCATGCGCCTCCAGGACACTTCGGAGTGTGGCATTAGTCAACGCTTGCTCCTTTTGTCCGTTTTTGTTTACAGGAGGGGGCTAGCAGTCTTATTTCTTGTTGGGACTGTTCTGGTGTGGCATAAATTGCTCTGGCAGTGTGGTAAGCAGAGTCAGTGGTACTGTACGGACACAACAGGTTACAGGCACAAATTATGACACCTGGTGCAACCAGGTGTCAGGACATGATTTTACGCTGTGCATTTTTGTTAAACATGTAAAAACGAAAGATGCAAACCGAGGATACGAACCGGATTATCACAGACATCATATCATCGCGTAACATGTGTCACCACAAGTCATTTGAGCTTGGAAGGCCAGGACATTTATATTTAATGACCTGGCACGAGCTCTACCTGATTCCGCCTTCACCTGATGTGGATTTGACCCCTAATCATTGTCAACACGGAAGTACGTTTTTGACAAAGGGAAAGACAGTCTTTTGTTTAGTGACAGTTCCAGAGCTGTAGAAGAGTGATTACCGCCACCAGAAGGACAGAAGTCACTAGATCAGGTAAAAGTTTTTAAGCTAGATTGTCGCCTAGTAAGACTATCGCAAAAATGTCTTTCATTTACGTACCGATGAGTGCAACTCTATTCTGTCTCTAAAAAGTAGACCTGGGTTATCTAAAACTGGCAATGAGCAATTCCTTTGCCACATTTCATTCTAAAACACCATTTGACGCTTTAAAAAGCGCCTCATTACTTTAAAAGGGTAAATTCACCGCTATGACTCTATGAGTGACTAAAAAGGCATCGAAATGGACTGAGGTCACCAGCAAGGGCAACGACGTGCAAACACAAATATTTGAAAATTGTTTAAATCTATGTTCGACTCCATAACCCTTTGTCATATCTGTGAACACTTCTAACTTTAGAGTAGAGGCATCTTTATTAGGAACTCGGGTACTGGCACTTTTGTTTTTTCAGGTTTTCGCGAGATTTTTGGTTTTTCCTCACTTCATCGAATTGCGTCTGCATGCATTTGACAATCCCGGGTCTCCCTTAGGTCGGGGGGGGGGGGGGGCAGTTCTATCCTCTAAAAGTTGTGGGCGACGCGTTCTCCACGTCAGTCCCGTTTATACGTAGCCAGGTTTACGCTGCCGTAGGAATCTGTTGAATGTTTTCAGATTGTGTGACAGAACAACTTACGTAGAAACCTGAGTGACCCAATCAAATCTGTTTGCCGTTGGGGGATTAGACCAAAGCAAGCATTGTCGAAGAAAACATGTGTTTCGACAGTGACAAGCAGGAGGTGTGATGAAATATTGTCCACCATAATGCTGATTTCAAATAGCAAGTCGAGCACGTTGGGAAATATTCTGCGAAAGCTGTGCCTGTGTTCCAAATCAGGTACGGCTAATCTACTTGCGTTCGTTAGCGGTAATGAGTTCCACCTGCAAACTGGCAGTGTCTCTGTAATGTACCTCGCGTTAACTGTGAGGTAAACGTTCAGCCGAATACGTCATCTGCACTTCTGCGTCATCCATGATCAGCACAAGTCATTCGTTCGTGACCTTTTCATGGAATTCACTCGTAATTCTTCATTTCTTGAAACGCATGGCAATTCTCAGCCTGCGATAAGCAAAACTTTGCCCCTCTGAACCTGGCACGCGCTACGCACCATACCTGCGTGAGAGACTATCTCTAACTTTTCAGTTCCACTTACGACGCCCCAAATATCTTCGCCGAAGTTATTCCTATCGCTCAGGACATAAGTTTACCGCTACAGGAAACTACAGGATGTTTTGACATTTCGCTGCTAGGCTCTATTTGCCAACAATCAGGACAACAAGGCCGGCCCATTTGATCCACGTAAACCAAGGCCCAATATCCAGCTCGGTCTGTTCATTGCCAAAGTCCGAGGGTATGGCCGTCTCGTTGCGAGAAGTCGTGGTGTGAAGCGGTCAGCTGACTCGGGCTAGATTCTGTCGCTGTTCGCCTGGCGCCAGTGATCCTCGATAGCTTCCCTGTCCAGCGTGACTCGGTCCAGCTCTTTCGTGATTGCCTCGTGCAGAGAGGCCTCTACGGACGGCTCGATTTCAGCGGTCATCTGGTGCAGTATCATCTGTCGGAAAAACAGGGAACCATGAGTTCAAGCTTCCGCCGCGTGGAGACGGTTTTAAGATTTTGTTCAAACCTTTCGATGGAACGGATGTCTGGGATCAGCGCCCATGCTAAGCAGTCCCTGTTGAGTGAACCCTAACCGCACCACCTGATCGTGAAATACCTCGACAACGGTCGAACTTTTCCGGCTAAAGCTCGACATTCCGCAGTGCTCGGTCTTATCCTTTCCACACTCTGGCGTCACATGGCTCTTAACGCGACCGCCGCCACCGCACACCGACCATTCGAGTCAGAGGCAAATGGCCAGCGCTTAACGCGACTCGGACCCATCTCGCCCGCCACGAGCGGGCGAACCGGAGGCGGGCGACCCAACCAACTAGGCCATAGAGACGTCTCGATAGCGTGACGTGAAGAATGGGTGTGCATGCAAACGAATTTAAGCAAACGTGTAATTGATGTATGCTTATCACGCTATCATATTTATATATGTAATAAGTTTGCATGTGTAATTCATGCATGATGTGTGATGCTTGTTTACTTATGACACGGATAAGACAGTAGTAATAGCTTTATTCCTCGGAGAAAAGTGGGGAGAATGGAGATGCAGGTGGGTTGATATTTTGGCAACATGCCTCTATCGAAAGAATGGCAGAAGTCCTTTGGCTATTGTTTCGATAAAGGCACGTATAGCCTTCCGGTGTTTTGAAAGTTTGCTTTCGTAGTTGACGTGAAACCTTAGTTGTTTGGCCGCCTTACGGAAGTTACAGGAAACCGTGTTTGGTCAAGTCACCGCTGCGAGTCTGAGTGTGGGGTGACGGCTTGTTGTGCGCGTTGTTATCTGTGTGGTGCGGTCGCGGCTGGTTGTGTGGCACTTGTGGGATGTGTGACGAACTTCTTGGGTTGAAATTATTGCAAGTCATTGTTTGATTTAAATATAAAGTAATAAACCTGTGTTGACGGAAGAAACACGCCACTATGTTACCAGCATGTTACCGAAATATCAACCCATCTATATTTCCATTCTCCTGGTTTGTATTCGGAAAAGACTAAATACTACTGTCTGATGAATGTTGGTGTCCTGTAAAAGCTGTGGCTCGCTGCATCAAAAGAAAAACGTGAAGAATCGAGTAGGATCAATGCCCTATAACAACATCGGCAGACAATTTTGAATTTACTTCTGCTGTTCGTTCGGTAAAGACATGTTGCGGAAATATCAACACATCTTTACCTCCACTCCCCTGGTTTTTCGTCGAGGAATAAGGCTATTGCTACTGTTTTATTTACGTGCAAAATGTTCTTCGCAAATGCATTTAACAACTTACTCAATCGTAGCAAGGGTGACACGCAAGGGCCTCCGTAAATTGCTCTTCAGGCATGAATATACAAACTCTATATTACCACTTTTCAATTTAGACTATTATCGTGCATGCAACATGCCAGGAACTGCGGACAGTATTGACGAGTTTAGGAGGCTAGTGTAATAAAAGACTCTAAGCTTCCTGTACATTTAACAAGTTATTGATATTGAATATGAGTATGGTCTACGAGCCAAGAGTGGTGAGCAATTGTGTTAATGTTGATGACCCGTCTAAATTTTGATCAGTGACAACGGGCCAAGCATTGAAAGTATGGGTTGTCCTTCTTGAATTTTTCGGTGAGGTGTTTTCTTCATGTTGTGCAAGCCGTAAAACCTGGTTTGCTGGTGTGGCATGTTTGTCATGGGTTTCTGTCACTCATACTCTTCCTAAAATTGAAAACAAATCATAATGATGTTGTGTCTGGCATCAATTTTTTTGGATGGTTTAAACTTAAGGAATGGCAAAAAATGCATGGTTTTGCTTGTTGAACGCGTGACCTGCAAAAGCCCGCCAAGTCTGGCCCACAACCTGGCCATAAGCCCATGGATCCTTGGGGGTCAGATGTTAACGGATTAGCAAATTGAAAGTCGCGTCTTTACTCCGAGCCACAGTGTGGTGACGAAGGGAACACTGGAAATGTTGCATACATCGGATAAAATGTCACAGCATAAAAGTCATCCAAAAACGCTCTAAGCATTCAGCCCTGTGGAAGAATCCCCATTCTTACCAAACATGACGCTGTTATCAAACGCTCAGCTGCTTTGTAGGTGTCCTTGCAAGTTTTGGAACATTCCATGCAACGAAGACGCATCCGCGTATAGACGCCCGCGAATAAACACACTGCATCTCGAGCACATGGAGACTGTAAACGGACACCGCGTAC